AGCTTAGTATCCACAGGATGCACGTCATGGTAAGCTTTACCTCAGAGAAGCCTTGCTGATGTCTCATATTTCTAAAACTCTAGATTGTTAGTTCAGAATGTTGTGTGGTCCTTTTGAGTGTCTTGGCTGCCACTAGGTAGCAAATGCTACTTTCTTTTAGTTTCTCAACTCCCTAATAGATTTCCAATTTTTCACTATATGCATACAAGTTCCTACCACTCATATCCCAACAAGTGTTGAATCATGAGAGGAAAATAGTTAGCGAAGGGAGGGGCGTACATATAGGCATACACTCATAGCTGACGTGAGATGTTATTTATAGTTAGCTGATGAGAGATGTTATTTATAGTGGAATTAGTAATAATAATGGAGCCACGTGTTACTATGGTTAGGTCATTTGACATGCTAGAGCGGGTGCGAGTTATGAATGCAATGTGGGGAAAGGGGGCTTTCATTTTCCAGGATATTCATGGTCAATGGTATGTCAAAGGAGGATTACCCTCGACCTCTGCATCAATTGATGCACACAGACTTATTTTAAAAGAAAGTCTCCACAAAATGCGTAATCTGAAGCAAGTTCGCAGGAAAACCCAAAAATAAAAAGTAAGTTGCCACAACCAGCCAAAGTAGAATAAGATGACTAGATACCTATCCTATTGTTGGACCGTCATCCAAACCGGTTGTAGATATCCTGTAATACCATCTTCCAACGGTTGCAACCGTAAACTATATGCTCCCCGTCTTCCGTATGGCTGAGTGACGACTACGTATGGATCCAGGCAGTCGCCCAAAAGATAACCTGCTAAAAATTAGTGACATTTTGTCTTTTAAAATTGACATGATTCCGACTATTTCAATAGTAATGCACACACTCTGTCTCGAATAAGTGCCGCTGTCTTAGACTCTACCCGGTTTAACCATTACCCAAATAAAGTGGCAACGCTATTAGGAGGATTGACATTAAAGGACACATGTATTGTACGCGTCTTGATCGCATAAGCAACATTGTTTACTACCCTCACAACTATGCTTTGCCAAGTTTTCCTTAGTCAAGATCACTTGTATGTATTTGAAATCTTGACCTCTCATGTTTCTGCGCTTTTATTAAACACTCGATGGTTCATTCTTCATCGTCAACGGAGTATCAATCTATAGTTAATCACTTGTCTAAGAAAATGCAAAGGTCAGGAAATTTAACCTAATTAGTTTTGGTAGTTATTTGCAGGCGATATTTTGAAAAGTCACTTTTCTAAGAAAAATTGGCATGGCACAAATTAAAAGTCATTGTCAAGAAAATTTGATGGTTCCTTTCTACCACCAATACGACTCAATCTCCATACGACACAACCATGTAAAAAAGTAAAAGTTATCGCCACCAACGTGTGAGGCTGCTCCACCTGAGGTGTTGGTGGGTGGCACTGGCGCATGCTTTTCCCACGTGGCTATCCATTATGCTAAACTCTCACCTGATATTGCATCCATACCTATACTCAACTACTAAGATGAATTTCTCAAATATTTTTTTTACTAAGATGCCATCACAACATTTTCATTTTTGAGGGTCTTTGCGCGCTAGGTCAGCTACACCTAGACTCATGCAGATGAGCTTGGGCGTGTGTCAAACAAGTAAAGCAGAGAGAGGCCGGCTAGTACTTGTTTTCTGGCAGCTTCCTTTCCCACATTTTATGCTATTTTTCTCATCTTAAACATTTCAGTGCATGATGTGTGTTTGTTGTTGGTTTAAATTCCCTTCAATTTGGACGTGGTCAGGTTGGTGCTAGGAATGAACAGTTGGCTAAGCTGAATGACATTTGTAGCCAGGTGGTTTTGACAGAAGATTCAGATAAGTTGGTTTCGAAACTAACAGTTTCGGGATCCGTCTCTGTAAAATCTTACTACAATGCCTTGCAACACCACGGTGTTGTTCCATAGAAGTTCATGCGGAAGATTAAAATACCTTTAAGAACCAAAACATTCATTTGGCTAGTGCTTAGTAGGAGTATACTAACTAGAGATGTTCTAGTCCATAGAGGTGGAAAGTGTATCAAATAATGCTTGTTTTGTAGTGGGGATGAATCTATGTCTCACATTGTTTCACCTGTCCCATGGTTAGACATGTATGGCTTGTGCTTGATCAGAGTATACTAACTAGGGATGTTCAGATCCATAGAGGTGGAAAGTGTATCAAACAATGCTCGTTTTGCAGTGGAGATGAATATATCTCTCCGAATACCCAATTCTGAGCCCCAGCTCATCTGCATCCGATGAATAGTGAATTAAAAAATAATACTAGAAAAATAAAAAAAATGTGAAGAAAGACGACCGCGTGCGTGAGGTGCATGCCAATTTCAGAGTATTTGGATATCTGAGTAGCTCTCAGCAAAAAAAAAACCGGTTCCAAACAGTGCACAAACAGGAAACTTTTTCATAGACCTCAAAATTGTCCTTTTTGTTGATCCAAATTATCTGAAATTTTGCACGGACATTATGCACTCAGCTATCTTTCTCCACACAAAAAATGGGATATTTTGAATTTTTCTAGTATTTTTACCGATATTTTGTTCACTCCCGGGCACATCTAAGCCCAGGAGCCAAAACACCTCGTCTCTATCTCTCACCTTTTTTCACCTGTCCCCATGGCTAGACATGTATGAAATGTTGCCAGCTGTGCTTTTAGTATTGATTACCACTTTGCAAACGCTGAAGATGGCATAGATACTTGGCTTGGGGGATTAAATGGTAGACAAAAGGATCTTATGTCTATTACAACCGTGATTTGGGGGAATCGGAAAGTGCGGAACCCTGTGTGTTTCAGAGCATTTGGCTGCGCGGGTCGGTTGACATGTTTTTTTCAGATATGCAAATGAATTGGCTCTTGGAGTTTATTGCAGGCGAAGGATGACATAAAGGACTGGCGGCGGTGGCCTGTAAGACTTCTAGCACAAGTAGGTTGTGAATGTTTAGCGCTAGCAGAAGTTGGAAGACCTGTATCCGGAGGCTGACAGTGTGAGATGATCTGATATGTGCATTGTCAACCCAGCAAAACTGCTATATGCTGCTGGAGAAGCTTAGAGGAATAGTTTCCCCCTGTTTTCTCCAAAGCTAGTATTGTCTTTGGTTTTCCACATGTTAGGTGTTCTTTCTGTAATGCACTTTATAAACTCGTAGTGTCTTTCTCTTTTGATGCTCGAATGCTGGTGTGTCACGGTGGTGGACGATGTAGAATTGATGGTTTTCTTAATGAAAATCAGGGGAAACCCTTTTACCTAAAAAAACAAAGAACTCTACTTGTTTTCTCACACATGGTGCAGAACTTTTGGAAATTAGACATGTGTTGTGAAATCAATATGTACACTACACACTCGTATGTTCTATCTATTGTGCGAGAGAGCACATCATCTGCTGCTAGATTTGTTTGGTGACAGATGGAGATGTGTCAGCTTTGTTGTCAGAAAGAGGATCGGTCTTCACGGTTGGTCTCACCAAGGAATGCCATGACCTAAGCATCGAACCCAAACATGGCTCAAAACCTTGAGAGATTGATACTCCCTGTGTAAACTAATATAAGATGTTTTAGATTAGTGATCTAAAATGTCTTATACTCCCTCCGTTCCAAATTACTCGTCGCAGAAATAGATGTATCTAGAACTAAAATACATCTATATCTGCGACAAGTAATTCGGAACGGAGGGAGTATTAGTTTACAGAGGGAGTAGATTATTGGGTGGCAAATGGAGCAACAGTCTATTTGCAAGTCTGCACAAACAGAATGCTCTGAAAAAACTGAAAAGATCACTTACTGAATGTTTTGCTGACAATCGAAGCCCACATGAATTTCAGACGGCAGCATTGGAGTTTTCTGCTTATTGGGCATCTATGCATTGAAACTTTAGGATATGCTGATTCTAGGAAACAATGGATCATAGTAAAAGAAGGCACCTTAGCAATATTTTGAGAGCCACTACTAAGGTGCCTTCTTTTGAGTTGAAGAGTAGCTAAAGACACTAGAGTTGAAGACTTTGCTGAAGAAACTGAAGCTGAAGAGAGTTGTTTTATACATCTTGCAACATTTAAGATATGAGAATGAGAGAATAATAAGCTGAACCATTGACTTACAGAACCGAGCACTACATGGTCACCAGCTCATGGTGCAACATGGAAGACAACAGGGATTAATAATCAAATGGCAACCGACTAGCTAAGCAACAGGGATTAAGCAAAGGTATCTTGCCATGTGAAACCAGCTAGCTAAGCAGAGGAGATGCAACTACGAGACATAACTTTGCGTAACTGTTGAAGCAAATGAACCTGAAATGAGCTTTCAACTCTAGCTAGTACCAACCAGGCAAGCAGCAATTTCAGAAACTTGTACAGCTAGAAATAGAATAAGCGAAGAGGAAAGAATTGCCAAACTTTGAACTCTGAAGTGCGTACAATGCAAAGAATTCCTGAACTTCGATCACCAATCCAACAAGTATTCCTGAACAATGGCGATTCGCCTTCCATCCATAGACATGCCAAGCAGAGGAAATGCAACAAGGAGACAGAATGAACTTGAAACGTTCTCATTTCAAGCGTAACCTGACATTCTTGCAGCGAAGCGGCTAGTGCCAAACAAGCAAGCAGAAATTTCAGAAACTTGTAGTACATATATAAATAAATTAGCGAAGAGAAAGAATTCCTGAACTTTGAACTCCCGAAATACATATACCGCAAAGTAAACCTTGGACCCAATACAACAAGTATACTAATATCATCTCTGTATGAAACTATGAATGTACCATATATCCTCCAGCAATTCTGATACAGCACCCATTGCCACAAACAATGGCGACTCCCTTCCATCCGTAAACCCAATACCTGAATTCTGAACAATGGGTGAACAACACCAACACAAATCTGAATCCTGAACCCGAAATGTTAAAGCAGCATCCATCCACTGAGTGATGAAGCTGCGCTTATTTCCCGATTTCCTGAGTATACATGGTGATGAGATGCAATCAATTGTTGAGGAACTCGGCGATGACCTTGTCCTGGGCGACGGCCTCTTCGCAGCAGGGCTCGAGGAGGTGGAAGGTGTGCCCCTTCCCCGGCGCCTGCCAAATGTCGGCCTCCCCGCTCCACCCGCTCGCCCTGAGCCGGTCGTAGTAGGCGCGGCCGCGGTCGCGGAGCACGTCGCCCTCGCCGATGCACACCAGCACACGCCGGCACGCCAGGGCGTCCAGCCCCGGCGCACCGTCCACGAACGGGTTGATGAGCGGGTCGTCCTCCCCGGTGGTGGTCGGGCACATGACGCGCCACAGGCTGGCCAGGCTCTCCCGCGCCGCCGGGTCCAGGTCGTCGGAGGCCACCTTATCGGTGCCGAGGAAGTAGGGGTGGATCATGAGGAGGCCGTGGATCGCGGCGCCGTGGGGCAGCCCCTCCGCGCCCACCCGCATCGCCACGTGGTGCGCGATGTTGGCGCCGGCGCTCTCGCCGCCGAGGTAGAGGCGGGCGAAGTCGGCGTGGTCGGCGAGCCAGGGCTCAAAGCCAGCGGCGGCGGGGGCGGCGTGGGAGACGACCCAGGCGAGCGCGTCCCAGGAGTCGGCGTAGGCGGCGGGGACGGGGTGCTCGGGCGCGAGGCGGTACTCGACGGAGACGACGAGGACGCCGGCGAGCGCGGCGAGGTTGTTGAAGTAGGCGTGGAAGGTGGGGTTGAAGGCGGAGCCGAGGCAGAAGCCGCCGCCGTGGTAGTAGACGAGGACGGGGAGCTTGGCGTTGTCGGGCTTGGCGGGGTCGATGTGGGGGAGGTAGAGGCGCGCGGAGACCTCGGGGGAGATGACGCGGTCGCGGGAGGCGACCCCGGTGGCGGCGTCGGCGTGGGCGGAGGCGGCGACGAACTCGGAGCCGAAGTAGCGCTCGACGCGGTTCTTGTAGATGCGGATGCAGGGCATGGACTCGTAGACGATCTCGTCGTCGGCCGCGGGCGCCGGGGCCGGGATGGGGACGGCGGCGGCCATCGCGCGCGCGGGCGAGATCTGGGCGACGGGGCGACGGTACGGTGGTGGTTGGGACTCCGGGCCGAGGTTGAGGGGACGTGTAGACTTTGCTCTGCTCTGGTCAAGTAGAAATGGCTCAAGCTAGGTTGGTGTTGTGTTGATTGGCTTCTTGCTGCAACTCAACTACACTACTTAAAATGAAGAAGAATTGATTAATTCCATTGGTTAATCCTGATTAGTCGTAGTTGTAGAACATGGAAGAGCTCTGACCGATTTTTCTTTATTTTTTGAGGGAAGGAGGGTTGTGGATCCTGATCTGCTTGCCCAAAATTCATAGGCTGCGTAGTAGCATAATTAAGTTGGTCCAATGGGTGAAAATGGTGTTTCTTTAGTCCAAAATGGCCGCAATTTGCCGCCTCCTTCTGTCAACATTTTTTCTGAAGCTATTTCGAAAAGAAAAGAAAAAATGGAAACCTCGAAGCCAACGCCTGGATCTGGAGAAAATTTGTTAGTTGTTTCGTGGGAATGCAGCAAATGCGGTAGTGGTGGGAGCTCGTCCGCTCGTGCAAGATTCTCTCACGCGGTATATGCTCGGCCTCAGAACTCACCAAAATATGCAGAGTCAAACAAGAACACGCCGCCCCTGTTGTATCAACTCCGCAGCCAGCCCCATATGGCCTGCCACTGAAACCCGTGCACGGCGCTACAGATTTTCTGCTTCTCTAGCTATAGGTACGGTTGACCGACCCAGTTTACTGGCTCCAAAAGATCACATGCTACTCCGGCTGTTCACAAACATTAGATGTTTTACATATTTCAATATAAATTACATTCAGATTGAAATGAATGAACAGATACACTAAAATACGTGTACATACTCCCTCCGGTTCTTTTTACTCTGCATATAAAAATTGTCTGAAGTCAAACTTCTCAAAGTTTGACCCTTCCCGAGCCGCTTCCGAGATTGGATCACCGCCCTTCTTTCCTCGGCATCTTCACGTGTATTGCTTAATGGTACTGCCGGCGACCCTATCAGACATGGTCGGGGCCTTCGTCAAGGGGACCCACTCTCCCCGTTGCTTTTTGTCCTTGCTATAGACCCGCCGCACCACATCCTGGCCACGGCGACTTCCCAAGGCCATCTTAAACCGCTCAGAGGTCGACCTATTCGTGCGTCGCTTTATGCTGATGATGCCGCCATATTTGTTTCTCCAATAAAAAATGACATCCAATTTTTGGCTTCAACTCTTGCCTCTTTTGGTGATGTTACTGGATTGGTCACCAATTGTACCAAAAGTCTTGTTGCACCCATTCGCTGCGGTAACATTCATCTTGATGATGTCCTTCAGGCTTTCCTCGCTATTCGCTCCACCTTTCCAATGAGATATCTGGGGTTGCCTCTTTCAGTTACAAGGTTGAAGAGGATACACTTTCAATTCCTAGAAGATAAAGTTGCTGGGAAGCTACCGCCTTGGATCGCCAAGCATGTGGCTGCTCCGGGCCGCATCGTTTTGGTCAAGGCCATGCTTACTGCCATTGCTATTTATCATATTACGCCCCTGGAATTGCCGGTGGAAGTGAGGAAGAAGATTGACAGTTTGCGACGCGCCTACCTTTGGGCGGGTTGTGACAAGGTGACCGGTGGAAAATGCAAGGTCAACTGGGAACTTGTCTGCAAGCCCAAGATCTTCGGTGGTTTGGGCATCCTCAACCTGGAGAAGTTTGCTACTGCCCTTCGATTGCGATGGCTCTGGTATGAATGGGCTAACCCACCCAAGACTTGGGTTGGGATGGGAACGCCGTGCAATGACAATGATAGGGACATTTTTGCGGCGGCCACCACGGTTCACATTGGAGATGGAAGAAAGGCAAAGTTCTGGGAATCATCCTGGCTCCAAGGCATGAGACCCAAAGATATTGCTCCTAGGATCTTTGACCTCTCGAGGAAGAAATCTTGCTCGGTCCAAATTGCTCTCCTCAACAATTTTTGGGTTAGTCAGATTGATACCCATCATGGAATCACCCTGGAGCACCTACAGGAGTTCAGCACACTTAGGGAGAAACTATCCTCTGTTATTCTCAAATAGTGTGCAAGATACTATCCACTGGAAGTTCACCACTCAAGGAGAATATTCGGCGTCTACTGCCTATATGGCACAGTTTGCAGGACACACAACTAGCATCATGCCTGCTGCTGTTTGGAAGGTTTGGGCCCCTCCGAAGTGCAAGTTTTTTGCTTGGTTGATAATTCAAAACAGAGTATGGACGGCTGATCGATTGCTCCGTCGTGGCTGGCCAAACTGCAACCTTTGCCCGCTTCTCTTCCAGTGCAAGTTCTCCCAACGTGTTTGGGTACAGGTTGCTGCGTGGATTGGCCTACATGGTGATGTGGTGAGGAGCTGGAGATTTGAGGTTTCGGTTCAAGAATGGTGGATTAAAAATGTGATTGAGAGTGGAAACCAGAGAAAGGCAATCACCTCCTTGTTCATGTTAATGTCTTGGGAGATTTGGAAAGAGCGCAATGTGAGGGTATTCCGCAACACCGCCGCTACTATGATGATGGTCGTCGCGAAGATCAAAGAGGAGGCCCATCTTTGGGCTTTGGCAGGTGCCACCCATTTGAGTATTGTGATGCCGCGAGAGTAGTTCTTTGTTCCCCGCTTTGCGGCTATTTGTCTAAAATCTTCTTCCTTAATCAATGAAAATGGCAAATCTTTTGTCTTGTTTCAAAAAAAATATATAAAAACATATTAACATCTACTCCCTCCGTCCGGAAATACTTGTCACCAAAATGATCCTACTTACTTGCAGCGATCTCGCTAGCTAGAAGATTTCTCCCGGTGCCAACCATTCTCACAATATGAAATCGATCTTACCCTAGCAATAAGCCGTTACCCTGAGTTTACGTGCCAAAGATGTAAGCAGTGGTGGTGCCAGGATCGAGGGAGTATGAACACGCAAACTTATTTGAGCGCTCCCTCTCTATTTGATGAATGAACACGACAAGTCTTTTGCCTTGAAATATAAATGGAGGGATATATCGATCGATGGGTGGTTACCAAGGACGTGATAGGGAAGTGGAGTTGGGTGAGAAAATGATGGATCCAACATAGACAAATTTACTAGTAGTACCAGATCGCAGCTTCTGATGTGTACCTCTTCTCCATGAAGAGTTCATGGTACATTGTTGGTCAAATTTTATTTACATGACGTGAAACTAATGAAGGAAAAGGATGAAGCCTAAGCTTTTCTAGCTACCTGGTTGAGGTGTGCTTTGAGCTCAACGTTACCCTGGCCTACCAACCAGTTGGTGCACGCAAGAAAAGCAAAGATGCTACACTTGGCCATGTGGTTGGACCTCATGCCAACTAGTACTCCCTCTGTTCACTTTTATAAGTCCTTGAAGACATTTCAGACAGTGTAAAATAGTTCATTTTCTTATGTCTGAAACGACTTATAAAAGTGAACGGAGGGAGCACCAAACATCCTCGTATGACCGTATCCTCGTGCGTAAGACACAACTGCTCCATTGCAAGCTTTCGATTCACGATAACTTAATATGTACCCCTCTTATAAAAAAATTACCCACTCATTGTCTAAAAAAAGGACATGTACACATTTAATTTTAACATTTAACTTTGACAACGAGTTAGATTATTACTGTACCAACATTGTAAAAAAAAACTATTACTGCACAGATTATCATGCGACATGACATATTTATTCTCATAAAAGTTTCTTTTTTTGGAAAGTCTCACGTTATAATTCACCAACTTGGTGTCGGATGATATATTATTCTTAACTTTCAACACCTAGAGGTTTTTTGGAATAGCCAGCCACTTTTGTGGTAGTTTTTTGAAAATTAAAAAAAGTGAGTTTTCTATAGACATAGCCCGTAATGTGGTAGTTTTTTTTTTTTGCTATATACTCAGCCATCCGGTGCATATAAAAATAGACGTGTCTCAAGATTTGTTTTCTGATGCATCAACTACATGCCGTCTCCGCAACACAAATCACTAATCACCAGGGATTACAATACAACTTGATTAACATAGTCGCCATCAACCTTATTGTCCAGGGTATCTACACAACATGCCTATCTTCACTGCACTAGATGTTGAGCTTTGGAGGAGCGCTCACGGTTTGACGTGCAACCGAGGAAGGAACAAGAGGTGCAACGGTGACTGGGCGACATAGTTACGGGGCCACAAAATGAAGCCCCCAAATTCTTGGCCCGAGACTAACTAGTGACGACATTGTTGTTCCTTCGTGGGACCAAGTCGGCGAGCCCAGGCAGTTTCCCACTGTCGACGGTTGCTGGCCTCCACCCTTCATCATCAACTGTCGTAGTTAGAAGCAAGAAAGTGGATAAACGAGCCGAACCTTCCTCTCTTTCCTTGTGTCACTTGCATGTATCACTCATTCCGGTGCCTTCCATTCCAACAATACCCTGGAAAAAGGTTTTGGTCTAGCATGCACACAGCCAAACGCGCAAGCCAACACGATGCACTACTCATGAAGGGTTGTCATCTACGTAAGAGATAGAAAGATAGGATATCTGGGTTATAATTTATAAACGCATACATGCCACCTGTGTGATTCCAAGGGCACATGCACCTGCCAGCATAATTGAATTATTTGTACTGCATGTTTGGTTACTGAAGTTATGCTTTCGGAATGTAAATTATGTGAACTCTGTCTCCTGTCAAGACATAGAAAGTCCCATATTTTATGCATTAACTTGGTTTCATGAGGACGCATGCTACACTTTGATTTGTACCAAAGTACCAACAATATTAATTGCTCTTTTCATGAGGCACACATGCACTTGTCTGCATATATACATACAGATACATATACCCCTCTCTCTCTCATTCTCAATTTCCTCACATTTAAAGTCATTACTATGTCAAAGTCACTGTACTCCTACCCGCAAAAAAGTCACTGTACTCCATATATTAGCGATGAGGTACATGAACGAACTATTCTCGGTATCATCTTGATAGAGGAGCATAGCCATA